TGAGCCACTACAGGTGATTCAACCCCCTCATTGAGTTTTTCCTGACCTTCCTGACCTTTATTGGTGACCGGTCTTAATTTGTTTGTCACAGCCTGGCTTTTGTTTGAGGGGTTTATGTATTACACAGAATAACACATGAAACAGAGCTCCCAGCAGCAAGGACAACTATTTAAAACACCCAGTCATCCCTACTCAGTTGACCTCACCTTGTTGAACCTACACACTACTTATTAATACTTCCCCCCTATCACATTTATCAATACTCCTTGCTGCTTGATAACATCATCAGATTCACTGATCGATACCCACCACTGTTGTATCAAATTATAGCTCTTTGTTATCAATACCAAGGACTCTGTGTATTCAATTAGAAAGAAGGGTGGATCAATAGCCGGCAGCTACTGCAGCCAATCCTGAAACTTTATCAATGCCAGCCGCCGTCCTGACAAATGATAACGCAGACAGATCAATAGGTTGTGCAGATGGTAACGTCACCTCGCCCGGTTGTTACACCCAGATCAGCAGACAGAGGTGCATGCTGAGAGACTCAGTTTCTAATCCAACTATATCAGTTTAATTTATTTCACTGGATTAAATTACAATAATGTCAAATTAACAGAATTTTGGCACCTGATTTGGTTGTAATTTTCATCTTTTGATGAAAATGTCAATTTATTTGGTTGTAGTCACATTTTAGCAATTTACAATTTTGTCTAGTTTTCTGTCTATCTTTTTTTTTTTTTTTTTTTACCATTTTACACCATCCACCAACTGCCATGGTTACAGATTTGTTTGTGGTTTGCCATAGCTGTTTTTCTGAAATTTTTTCTTAACTTTCAGTGGGATTGCAGGTTTTCTCAACATAAACTGGTAATGTTAGCTAACAAAACCCAACCATAACCCCACTCCCTTACCTAACCCTCAACACTTCCTCACCCCAGTACCTGACCCCCAATCTTAACCCCCCTGCCTACTCCAAACCCGATTTTTCATATGGGAAAATTAGCTCATAAATAAGAGTACAAGTAGTGGACAGAGCTTCTGGGTCTGGGAAGCAAAGTCAACGTGGAAGTGTCCTAAACCTGCATTATTTCTAATGGCCAGCAGGGGGCAGCTCCATTGGTTGCAAAAATAGCTCACCTGGTAGAGCTGGGGCCCCAAAGCTGAGTCCTTGCTGCAGAGGCCATGGGTTTCAGGTGAGCTTTGGTGCCCCAAATGTAATCTTTTTCTCTCGATTTGCATTAAAAAAAGTAAGTAATTTGTTCACACAAATGTTATTATAGATAGTTTTAATAGGTAATGGAGGTAATAGTTTGTTTGTGGAAGTTCTTTGTTTGTCACATCTTTTTTGAAGGTTATTGTTTTATTAAGATTTTTCTTTTTGCTGTTACCAACATTAACTAACATGCTTTAAAAAACTATATGTGAACTGTATGTGAAGCCTACATTTGCTACTACTTATTTCAAATCAAACAGAGTATGCTAAGTGAATAGGCCAATGGTTTTAAACACACAGGAATGAAAACAACTCAACCCTGTTATGTAATAGTTGATCAAAAATAGAAAGGGCATGACCAGGCTCCACCCCTTACCTAACCATCCAAATCCAAGAAATACAGGTTATTGTGGTGTTTCCGTCGACTGCTGGTATTCCCTCTGGTTGTTGTTGTGCTTCACGATCAGAGGAGGATCTCTCCTGTCCTGTCTGCCATGACATCTTTAAAGATCCTGTTGTTCTTTCATGTAGCCACAGATTCTTTAAAGACTATAATAATGAAGGAGTGTCCAGTTTGTAATAGCTCTCTGATCTGATAAACTCAAACTCTTCGGTCTGGACCATCAGCAGCCAGTGTGTCTCATCTGCAGAGATTCAAAAAAAACATGCTGACCACAGATTCAGACCTATCAATGAAGCTGCACAGAATCACAGAGAGGAGCTCCATAAACCCCTGACTGAAGCTCTTTGAACAAGTTAAAGGAAACTGTGATCAAACAGCAGAACACATTAAGGTCCAGGCCCAAACACACAGAGAGGCAGATTAAGG